GCAGCAGCCGGGGCCAGAGGTGGTAGCGGAGGCAGAGCTCAGCTCCAGGGGCAGCCAGGCTTGAGCCCTGGGGGCAGCGGTGCCCACATGAGAGGGGCGCGGCTGCAGCAGGCGGCTCGGGCAGGAGGACTCGCCCGCTCGCTGCTGGCCCCCGCCGCCGGGACCGGCCCGGAGCCCGCAGCCGCCCGCACGCCCGGGTTGTGGGCGCGGATGCCTCGGCGCTGGGGGGCGCGGGAAGCCTGAGCCGCCGCTCCCAGAGCAGCAGGAGCAGCGCTGGAAATGTCCTTTCCCTACTGCAGCCTGGTCAGGTACCTGTTCCTAGCCCTGCTCCTGCACGGTGAGTGTCTACACTGCGGTGGGGAGGGGAGTGCGCTGCCTCTGCTTAGCTGAGGACCTGCGCTGGGCACGGGTGGAGCAGAGCTTGGCTCCCTGAAGGGGAGGCTGGAGGAGTTCATGACTCCCGCGCTCGGCCTGATGGAGTTCATCTCGAGTTGGGAGGGAGCAGAGGTGTCTTATGTAGGGCTTTCGGGAATCCCCCCACTCCACAGTCTCCCTCCCCACGCCAGGAAATTGGACAGACATGGAAGGTGCAACCCTCCACTGCCAGGCTTGCCGGCCGCTGCTCCACAGGGCTGGCCAAACGTTGGGAGGTTAGAAAGGGCCACTGGAAGCTCAGTTAAGGGAACAAGTTGCACCCACGTTGATGCCAGCACTTCTTGGAAGGGGGCCTTTGGTCCGTGTGAAACGTCCTGCTGTCCTCTGTTCAAACCGAAGGGGGTCCTAAACACACGGGGACTTCCTTCGCTTTGGCGTCAACCCTTATTGTTCAGTGATAGGAGCTACCAGACCTTTGGGGTAAAGTGAGGAACAGCAGCGATTGTCAGGATTGTCCGGGAAGTGCCCTGCTCTTTGTTGACTGTGTCACTATCTATGTGGCACTGCCTGCAGTTTGGGATGCTACCTTAAGAGCCTACCGCGAAATCCTAACTGCAAGGAAGTCCACTGGAGCTTTGTCACAGAGGTCAGCAAGGCCAGAATGCCATTCTCAAGCAATCACTGGACGTGGATGTATAGAGGGGTTTTTCTGCAAAGTTAATAGATACTAAAGCATGGGATTTAGGGCTCATGATAATAACCTGAATTAAATTACTGAGGCTCTTTATACCCCCTTAGTTTAAAATATGCTAAATTCTGCTTTGAGACAGCTTCAACATAGCATTGGAGCAAAGATATCTTCTGAAAAAAAGCTGTTATGGGAACAGACATATTTTAAGTTATGCAAGCCAGATTTTTCAAACTTGGGTGCAACAAGTTGGTCAAGTACAGTCAGACCCAGTTTACCATAGTGGTAAGCACCACATCTCCAGCTTTCTTCATCTGGAAATCAGCTTTATTAGGTGCTTAAATATGGATTTACATACCTAATGTTATTTGAGACTTTGGGCAAGATCTGATTCTGAATGAATACCTCAGCCTGCTAAACTACATCATCCTTTGAGAAGTGGACTTAATACTGAGGTATTCTTCAGCATCCAGTCTTTTTCAGTAGAATTTCTCAGGGCCCAAAATAGTAAAATTAGTAACCTCAGCTGACTCAACCTTAGTGTTGGCAGCAGATATGAGAACATTTGTCTTCGTAAGATGGTCCCCTGGGAGCAGGGATTGTCTTTCTCTCTGTTTGTACAGTACTAAGCACACAGATGGTGCTCAATAAATAATAAAGATCATAGGCTTGGAGTGTGTGTTTTGTTTTGGGGGTTGGAGAAAGAGTGCGTGCTTGCTAACCAGAAGGGGTTTTACGTACCTCTCACAACTCAGCTACAGATATATACACTGTATAAACGTGTCTAGTTGAGCCAGACTTGCCTGGATGCCAAGGTGTACTTTAAAACTCTGTGATCTGGGAATCAAAAAGTCAAAATGGAAGGTCTGAAGTTAGAGGGTAAAAAGAGAAGGTATAATTATAGAGTTAGACTCCCAGGCTCATCTGCTTGGAATTACATAGTTTTAAACTTTAGCTGAAATGGGAAGCAAATCAGGGCCAACAATCAGATCAAAACAGCAGTTTTCAAAAGAAGATGAAATAGGAAACCAACAATTTTTTTTCCATTTGCAGCCATATTGCATCAAACAAAATATTCCCAATCAAACACTTTTGAGGAAAAAAATAACTTTAAAACTTGTATGGGAATGCGCACATATCTTGTGGAAAACTTTTGCCCCCTTGGGCTGAGATAGTGATATAATGCCTTAAGGTGTAGACCCTGCTTACAATTAATCTATCTCCAGTATATGTTGGGTTATTATCTTTAAAACATGTCTTTTCTCTACAATGTATTTGCACAGTCTGCTTTAACTTATCCTGCAGTCCTAACCATTTCTCAGTCAATAGCTAACCAGGCAATAGCTGACAGTAATTACCAATCAACATAGAGGATGAGTGTACCAAGCCCTTTTAGACCATGTGAATGTCTCTCAGTCAACTGTATTGTGCTTGGCAACCCAAGGGTAAATGAAATGTGTGTCTGGAAATAAAATTGAAATACTCTCGCTTTCCATTTTTGAGTCAATGTAAAATACAAGACTTAAGCTCATACTTTATTGCAGCAAGAAATGTCTCTTTTCATATCACCAAGTTATTGTTTTGGAAAACTTGAATTCATTAGTCAAAGTAAAACCTGTAGAATGTCAAAGGAGGTTTGCAGCTGGAAGTTGTCCATTATCACTGTTTTCTTTGCTTATACAAAAAGCCACAAAAGTTTCAGATGTCAAATGCTTAAATCATTCAACTCCAGAAAACTTGATTAATAAGAGCTACAGTAAAGTGGATACAAAGCAAATTGGCTAATTTCTTTTGCAAATGTAAACTTTTTTACCATTAAAGATGCTGTGAAGAGCCCTAACATATTTCTAAGGATGTGACTGTTATAGTAATAAATTAGACACTTAAAATATTTAGCTTATTTTAATACTTCCACTAAAGTATTCCATTCTAATTAACCTTATGAAGTCAGGACTGTTAAGACTTTTCAGAACAGATTGTTTATGTTAAAAAAGTGGGGGAGAAAGGAACAAAGATCACTAAAATTTGTTGGCTATAAGTGTTTTATTGCATTCCTTGCCTCATTCCTAAAAAAGATACTATAGTTTATAAGAAAAAATATACATACACATAACATAGAGATGGGCAGGGTTTTGCACTGAGGGGATGGAGTTTATGGGATGAATATAAGAGGACTTAGTAAAATAACTGAAAATTTAGAAGGCAAATTAGAAAAATGGTTCTCTTTGTTCACTGTTTGGTATTGGAAGCCTGGAGACTGGTGAATAAATGGATGGAGAAAGAAAGAAGGAGAGAAAGGAAGTGGACATTGTTGTATATTTATTTTCAGTTACCTTTGTGTAAATCCTAAGCAATTCCACTGATCTCTTCTTGTACTCATGGGTGGATTTAGAGGGATGGAAAGAGCTGATGTTATGTATACGTGTGTATCTGGACAGTACTTTAAAACACCAATAGCCTGTGTCCATTAACAGAAAAATCCCTGAAGAAAACAATAGAGAAAGAAGATTATTTCAAGTATTTAATACAATTACTAATGCAAAATTTTAACAACACTGATGGTCTGTACTTACTGTGCATAGATCACACAATTAGATTGTTTAGTACAGGATTCGTCCTCCAGTCTTTACTCAGACAAAACTCCCATATAGTTCAGCATTGGCCCCCTATTTTGTATGTAGTATAAAATAGATGGCTGTAGTCTGCAATACAGAATACTGCAGATGGCTGTGATACAGAACAGATGTTTTCTTCAAAGAGGTCAAACCAAACTACTTCATGTATTGTATTGCACTTTGGTTCAATCCTGCTTCCACTGGAGTCAGTGACAAAGCTCGCATTGACTTTAGTGGAAGCAGACTTTAGCCTAGAGTGGTTCACAGGACCACATTGGATGTGCCACTATTTTTTTTGTCACTTAGTGATGGTGATCCATTCTAGTGCAACATTTAATTAAGCATTACAGAGTTCACTGCTTTATAAAACGTCTTAATTCATTTGATATTAAACTATAGAATGGAGTTCATTCAGGGCTTTAGGATTGGAAATCTATAGTTGAGTCATTGAACTCAGTTTAAGTTATTTATTTTTGTATGTGTAATAGAATCATAGAAAATTAGGATTGGAAGGAACCTCAGGAGGTCATCTAGTTCAATCCCCTGCTCAAAGCAGGACCATCCCCAACTAGATCATTCCAGCCAGGGCTTTGTCAAGCCGGGCCTTAAAAACTTCCATGGATGGAGCTTCCACCACTTCTCTAGGTAACCCATTCCAGTGCTTTACCACCCTCCTAGTGAGAGAGTTTTTCCTAATATCCATCCTAAACTTCCCTTGCTGCAACTAGAGACCATTATTCCTTGTTCTGTCATCTGCCATCACTGAGAAAATGGTGGTGTTATAATAATCACATAGGCCTTTTGGTAAACAGTGGCTGATAAATGTCATTAAAGGGCAGGTACTATCAAGGGGCTCCTCATGATATTTAAAGTCTTTGGTTATACGCTATTTTATAACATTACTTTGAAAGCCTAACCACAAGTCCTGAACTGAATAGGATGCAGTTCAACAAGGACAAGTGCAGGGTGCTGCACCTGGGGAGAGGGAACCAG